TTTTTTCGAGTCCCTCTTTCTCTTAGGCAAAATCCGCCAACCATTCGCCAACCAGCCCGGCCGACGCAAGCTACCGCGACGCCGCTCTAGGAAACCAGAAAGGACCTTTGTCATTATTCCGCCTGTTTGAGAACCGCGTTCTTCAACGGAATCGACAATTCGACAAAGTGAAAGCGAAAAGCGAAAAGCGAAAAGCGAAAAGTCTCGCGTTCGACACGCGCCCAGCGCAACTGTACATACGCACTCATCGGTTGCAGGCTGCTGCATATGCCGTAACGCGATCAATTGTTCATCTCCATCCTGCCTGAGAAACAACGCTGCCAGCACATCGCCGTCTGCCCAATAGATAAGGGTGTGCCCATCCCACCCTTTTACCCTTTTTGGTCTCCCACCGCCACCATCGAACATCGAACATCGAATAGCGTACCTCCGCACTTCGAAACGCGAGCCCAACCCGTTGCCTCTCTCACGACCCGAGTTCTCTTTGTTGCATTTCGTTTGCCGCAATCTGCGCGCCCTCTCGACGTTCGCTTCGTTCGCTTGGTTCGCTTTGGCGCATAGAACGATCCATCGCTGCCGACCAGCCTTATCGCTAGGATCCTGAAAGCTGGTCTCGACTTTTCCCCTTTTGCTTCTTTTCCCACTGCTTCACTAGAGCATGGAGTACGGACAATATCAGCAGCCGAACAACGGAAATCCTCAGAACCTCCCGCCCCAGTCGCCCCAGCAGCACCACGACCAAGACCCCAACGCCATGTACCAGCAACAGTACGGCATCGCCCAGCCGGGCATGCACTACGTCCAAGCGGCGGCAATGGCCGCCACCGCCGCCGCCTCTGGGTCTAACTACCCCTACGGCATGGCGTCCGAAACCGGCCTCCCGCAAGCAACGTCTCCGCGCATGAATAAGAAGGATGGGCGGGACCCGCGATCGCCGCCACTGAACAACATGGGTGGCCCGCAGGGCCGCCGAATGAGCAACGTCACGAGCCCCGGCGTGCCGAACGCCCAGTCCATTCTCAACAACCATGGCGCCGCCACACAGCAGCAGCGGGCCCCTGGTGTGGGCGTACCGGCCGGCCAGCCGCAGCAGATGCACGCGCCCCCCTCGCCCGAGCTCGCTGCCGCCCCCGTCGAGGAGTCCCCGCTCTACGTCAACGCCAAGCAGTTCCACCGCATCCTAAAGCGTCGCGTCGCTCGCCAGCGCCTCGAAGAGGCCCTGCGTCTCACGTCCAAGGGCCGCAAGCCGTATCTGCACGAATCGCGCCATAACCACGCCATGCGCCGGCCCCGTGGTCCAGGCGGTCGCTTCCTGACGGCCGACGAGGTCGCCGAGATGGAGCGCGGCAAGACCGACGAAGACAAGGAGAACGACGCCGCAGCCGCTGCTGCTGAAGCTGCCGCGGCGCCGCCGCCGAGCAAGAAGCGCAAGTCGGAAGCGGTGTCGGCCGCCAACACCAAAAAGATCAAGGCGGCGCCGACGGCCGACAAACCAGACGGTGAGGAGAGCTAGACTCCCCGAGTCGGGCGCGCTCTTTTTCCCTTTCTCTTGTGTTTCCTTGTCTTTGTTTCCGGCGTTCTCTATACCCGGCGTTACGACGTGATGAACATCTTCTCTCTTTTTCGACGCAACAAGACGGCACATGCCATCGCATATAACCGACGGAACCGTCCAGGGCCGCGCTCCGGTCGCAACGCCCATCCATGCGCACATTCGCCCTCGGCGTCTTTTACATAGCTTTACATTTTCACTTTTCTTTAGTAGTATTTTTGTGTTTTATGTTTTTATAACTGTTCCTATTTTCTTTTGCCCTTCTGCGCATCTACTTTATACACTTCCTTTCGTTCCTGTTGCTTGTCAAACCACACCCAAGATTGTTTCCCTCCGAGACATTGTTGTCCCTGTCATCTCACTTTGGGGGCAGAAGGCTTCTGGCCCACCTTGTCTATTCTCCTTTTATGCCATTTTCCGTGTTTTTTGTCTTGGGATTCGGGATTTGGAGGGATGGTGCTTGGTTCGTGAATGCGGCAAGACTGAAGAGCAATGGCAAGAACAACTGTTGTCGCATTTTCCACATACACACCCACGCACACACACGCACACGCGCGCAAAAACACAAAACAACCAGCAAAAAAACAAACTAGCGACCCTGTTTTATGTTTATTTTATTTATTTTATAGGATTTATTGGAAAGAGCTGCAGAGCTCGCACAGGGGAGCAAATGGGACAAAAACATGGTTTTTTTACAAACTTTTTCTTCTCTTATATCAATTTGTTTACTATTCTTTTTTCTTTTGCTCTCTTGTGTCTCTTCCTTTCAAACCAACCTGATCCCTGATTCCTCCACGTTGACAATAGCCTTTTATCCTACTATTTTTCTTTTTTGTTTCTTTTGTCAGTCTTCTGCTGTTCTTCAAGCGTCCTTTAAGCGTCCTTTTTACAGCAAGCGATAGCGTGCGTCCTGCTTTTCGTCTTTTTCTTCTTTTTTTGGTTTGCTGTTCTGATTTTGTGACTATTTCTTCCTGACTCTTGTCTCCCCGCCTTTTTTATCTTGCAAATGGTCTGGCTACCATTGTCAGAATAAAAGGCGCCACCGGGATTGGAGTCCACATGGGAGTGACGATGGAAAGCGGCGAAGGAGATAAAAAGACTGCCACCGGCCGCTGGGCCAAACATTAAGCACCAACACCAAGACACTCTATTATTTATTTATTTTGTCTTTACTTTGCCCTGCCTTTTTACTTTTTTGGTTTTTGCTGAATTCATATAGTGTTACGAATTTTACATCTCGTCTCTGTCTCGTGTTTGCCATGACATCTCATACAAAACGTACGTCTTCTGTTAGGTACACCAGTGTTGGTGATGACGAGCCAATTCAAAATCGACCTGTTGCTCCTCATTTTGTTTCTATAACATGCCATTGGTGAACGGCCCAAACGGCCCAAACGGCCCAAAGGCAATTAACAAAAGTTGCTGTCTTGTGGTTGGTGATTTCCATGTTTTTGGCCCTGGTTAGTTCTGTTAGTTCCGTCCTTTGCCCGTGAGTGTTCATGCCCGAAAATTGAGGCACCCATGAACGCCCCCCAGTTGGCTCGCGCGCGCCAATCACAGCCGTTTACGTCGAGGCATTGACGTCGTCGCTCCACTCTGGACTGGCTGGGTTTGGCGGCGAACCGTCAAATGGATGCCCTCACTGTTTTGTCTTTGGCCAGCTTTTTCAAGTTTTTTGGCGATGCTGGCTGCACCTCGTCGTCTCTGGCCATCCACAATCCTGTCTCGTCTTTTCTGCCTTTAGCCTGGCCCCGCTGTTTGTCCCAAGAGAGCCAACGAACCGATGTCTCGCTCGTTTCATGTCTCGCTGTCATAGGATCTACAACTCTCCAACACGCTTTAGGCGCTCGCTTGACAAGCTCAACAGAGCTTCTTAAGACAGCAAGACAGCTCAACCGATCGAAGTTGATAGCTAGAAACTCGCCCCAATCGCGTGATTCCGTTTGCAGCTCTATCCCATCCCCCCGAGCTACTACAGATTTCCTGGATAGCTCTGATGCCCTCGTCGTCACGAGCTTAGGAGACTAGGCTCGCCCAGGAAACCGTCTGATAGTTGGGATCTACGCCTGCACCGGCAGGGGATCGAAGCTATCCCTGTCCGGAGCAGCGCGGTCCCAGTTTCTCTGTAGTCTCGCCTGTACTCAGTAGTCTCGCAAGAGCAGCCGCCTAGCATTGGTTTTACCACCTGAGGACCGCCCCAGGCCGACTCGGGTCGCCTCGGTTTTTGCATGCTCTGGCTCTCTGGACACTACCAGAACTGCTGTCCTGTGCTCTGTGGTTTGCTCTTTCTTGCATGTGCTGTGTTGCGCTGTGCCCTTGTTTGTGTGGCTTTTGTTGTTTTGCGGGCCGCTTGTTTTGGATTCCAGCCATGACGTAGTGGGCACTTGTGTGAGGACGTGGGAAGTGGGGACGACGTTGCTTCCTTTCCCCTGGCCTTGCAGAACCTCTTTCCCTGAGAGCTACCTTGCCAGCTTGCTACCTTGCTACCGTGCTGCTCCTCCCATATCGCATATTACCTTGCAAGGCAAAAGCAAGACAGGCAGGTGTCGCAGTGGCCGCTCTTGCTGTAATTTGGCAGTGGACCAATGTCCCACTCCATGTGGACGGGGAAGGAGCGACCGCGACTAAACACCCAGGTTGTATCGGGAATTTGCATACATGGACACAAGCTGGCAAGGCAAGAACGGCCCAGATCAGGTCCAAATGCCGGCCAATGTGCGTCCAGATTCTCCTCACTCGCAGGTTCTCTGCTCTGTATGCACTCAAGCAAGGTCTTGAATTCATTGCGGACTAGCTCGCTAGCTGTCCAGCCCACGCCCCGGTGCGCGTCTGATACGTTCGATGGCGTCTCCAATGACACCTCTTGATGACGCTCGATGACGCCTATTGCTTCTGCCATCTTCCGCTCCTTGTCCTCGCTGCCCTTTGCTGCCATTCGCTCCTTCCCTGTCATGAATGTCTGCTCCTCACCGCTCGCTTCTCACTTTCCCCCCTGGCCCTAACCCTGTCCCTGTCATTCGCTCCTTCTTCACGACGTATCTTGTCTCTTTCTCGGAGTGGTTGGGTGTCACTTGCAAGCATCGGGCCCATTAAATCTCCACAGGGGTGAATATCTGCCGTCGCTGCGTCGTGCCAAGCACTCCTTACGACATACGTCACACAATATTGTCCATACCCGAGAATCACCAGTAGTTAGAGAGCACGCATGCGACATGCACGCGGCGTCCAGCAGCCAGGCTGAACAACTCTTCGCGACATGTTTTGCCATGACACTCGTACCAGAGAACATGCACGCTCGTGACTGTTTGCATTTGTTTTCTGTCCATCTTCCCGTCCATTGTCCTTGGCTTGTCACGATCCTCATACACACCACCTCTGCATATCAGTCCATCGAACACAACCCCCTTGACATTAGACCAGACACCTCACATTTCCCTTGCCACCGACCATGAATACCGGCGGCGGTGGCCGCCAACGCCACAAGAACCAGCATCAACACCTCCCATCACACGGCTCGACAGGATCGATCGGCGGAACGGCCGTGCCCCTCCCGCCGCCCTTTGGCCCCGGGCCTGCGTCAGCATCGTTGCCGGCGACGACAGCATCGACACCCACACCCACCCCAACGCCCACCCGCGCCAACACGGCAGGGTCGGCCGCGTCTGCCTCGTCCACCTCTACCACGACCGGCTCCGTCCCTGGCCAGCGCAAAGAGCGCGGCGCCATTGCGGCCCAGGCCTGCGACACGTGCCGCAGCCGCAAACAAAAATGCGACGAGCAGCGGCCCGAGTGCGGCACTTGCCAAAAGTTCAAGCTGGCCTGCCGCTACCGCGAGCCCCAGCCGACCAAGAAGGACAAGACCCTGAGCGAGATACTCGACCGGCTCAAGGCGCTCGAGGGCAAGATCGACGGCCTGGGGAGTGGCGGGGCCGTCAGGCAAGCGTCGGCTGGATATGCCGCGCCGGCCCTCCTCGGCCTGCCGCCACAACCACCCGTGCCACCCGTGCCACCCGTACCACCAGTGTCACCGTATACATCCACCACTGCTGCTGCTTCGGCAGCAACAGCACCCGCCACACCCTCGACATACCGGTACTCCCCGGCCGTGTACCAGATGCTGGGCTGGCCCGTCGTGCAACAAATGCTCGCACCGCTGGCCCCGCAGCTGGCGATCCTGCAGATCCACGTTCAAGCACTAGGAACCGAGCACGACGCTCAGGCCGTTGTCCTTGGGCTGCACCATCCGCAGCAGCGGCTGCCGACCAACGACTCCATGGGTGGCGGCGTGGGCCTCGCCATGGGCGGCGTGCCCGGCGTGCCCGGCATGGGCGTCGGTGGCATGACGGCAGCCCCCAACAGCTTTTATCCCGCCATGCCAGCCTCTGTGGCAAGCCCCATGCCCTTCTCGCTTGGCGCCTCCCTCGGCTCGACCATGGCCACAACATCCCTGGGCGGACCGCCGCTTCTGTCGTGGGACACGCTCTACCGCCTCAGCACCGCCTACTTTGACTCGTTCAACTACATTGCGCCCATTGTCGACCGCCAGACCTTTCTGGGCGTGACACTGCCCGTCGCGTTGGAGCTCGGCCAGGATGCCGCCAACCCGGCCGACAAGACGAGCAGCGCCGGCACCAACGACCAGGCAAACTCGGCCCTTGTACTCCTCGTGGCCGCCCTCGGCGATGTTTCCATTGCCGGGGTCCAAGGCGCGCCTGTTCTGGGGGCCACGGGCGGCGTGAAAGGCGGCACCGTACGGCACCCACCGGGCCTTGCCCTCTTCAACGAGGCTCGGCGTCGCATGGGTTTTGTGTCGGGCGACTGTAGCCTGGAGAACATGCAAATCTACGCTCTGGCAGGGTGAGTCAAGTTTGGCACGATGCACAGCCGAGCTGTTTCGCTGACTTGTTTTGTTCTTTCCCTGTTACCTAGAATCTACTGCTCCACATGTCTACGACACATGGTAAGGATGCCTCGACCTCCTCGACACAAATTTCACTACTTTCTTTGACGCATCTAACCGTCTAGGACTACTGGCGACATACAACGACAGCATCCTTGTCCTGTCAAGCCCTAATTACAAGGTATGCCGGGTGCCGACTTCGTCCAACCGCTCATACGTGTCTGCTTACATTGTCCCACTAACACATCCAGCAAACCCTCCGAGTTGGCATCACCCCGTGCGGATCTGATCCGCCACATCTTTTGGTATTGTTTGATTATTGAGACGTAGGTTTTTTTTCTTTTCTTTTCTTTTTCTTTCCTTTTTCTTTTCCGGCTTGCGGCTTTCTCCGCCCCTTCCATGATTCTTAACTCATATCTGACTTGCAAAGCCACTTCAACATCGAACTCGGCCTGCCCCTGACCGGCCTTGACCGCTTTGAAGACCTTGTTGGACTGCCGTCCTTCAATGGACCCTACGCGCAAGACGACTACCTTGCCAACCAGGCATCCCACTTTCAGGAGCATTTTGCTTCGCAGATCGTGCTGCGGCGGCTGTGCGTCGACTTTGACAGAACCCTTCGTTTTGGTAAATACTGGCGACCCGTTCCTCCCGTCTAGGTTTTTGTTAAATACAAACCCTTTACTCTGGATCCAATAAAACTGACAACAGCACTCATCTGGGCCGTGGTCACAACAGGAGCGGAAGGAAATGGAGCAACAACAAAGACGCAGACATCAACGCCAAGTGCAGCAAGCATGGACGGGCAGACCATGGGCTCCATGGGTTCTATGGGTTCCATGGGTTCCGTCGGTTCCATCGATACCCCCGGCAGCCTCCCATCTCCGCGTACGTCCTCCCTCCACAGCGCGCCCGCGCTGTTTTTCTTTCCGGCGAGCATCGCCCAGATGGCCCAGCAGCTTGAGGGCTGGCGCGGGATGCTACCACCTCACCTGCGCTGGCAAGAGTCGCGACCGGCCGACTTTCCCAGCGCCGGCGTCTCAGACGACTTTGTCGTTGTAGACGGCGACTCGGTGGACGAGGACATGGTCGCCCCTTCGGCCACGGCGACCTCCTCAATGACCTCGTCAATGACCTCCTCGATGGGGTCGTCCAGCACATCCGCGCTTGCGTCGACCTCCGCCCCGATTTCGGCTACCACGTCCATCCACTCCTCGGCCACGCCGGCGCCACCCGCACCACCTGCACCACCCGCGGCCACCATGTTCTCGGCCGACCTCGACGCCACGCCCGTAGCGTACCCCTTCGCCCTCGATCTGCAGGTCGCGCTCCTGCGCTCCCGCTACTACTACACAAAGTACCTGGTGTACAAGCCGTGTCTGTACAAGGCCATGCACCACCCGGCGCAGCTGTCGCACGACGACGCCGCCGGTGCCGCCGCCTGCTTGCAAGCGTGCCTGTCGTGGCCCATTGCCATGTCGCCGACGTGCACACGCAAGCGGCTGGTCCCGTGCCTCTTCTTCTACACGCAGAACTTCCTCGGCGTCCTGCTCGTCCTCCGCCTCGCCCAGCAGCTGCCCATCCTGCAGCGCATCACGGCCACGCTGTGCGGCGGTGAGCAGTTTGCGCGGGCGGCACGGACCACGACGGCGCTGTGCATTGCATGGCTGCGTGATCTGCGCGGCGTTGACCGGGCGGCCGAGTGGGCGTGGTCCGTGGTGCAGGCCCTGTACAATGTGGAATGATGAGAAGGGGCTACAACGATATACACGGTCCATTTAGCAGGATAGACACACTGTGGATGATTTGCTATGTCAGCTTCTTGGATATCATTTGGGCGACAATCGGCTGTTCTGATTAGGTTTTAACTCATTTATTGATCTCTCGAAAAGGCACAGCCTCTTCATGATATATGTACAAGATGTTACTGTTTCTCTGTCTCTCTCTTCTTCTCCTCTTCGTCTCTTGCACTCTCCCCTATTCATTTGCCCTTTCTGCTGAATGTCTGCTCTTTCTCTGTCTCGCTGTCTGTGCCATCGTCACTAATATGTACAGGATCTGGCAAATCAGGGGTTGGCTATTGGTAGCCGGGGTGCCCAAGAGGCCCGTCACTTTAAGCGGTGAACTTGACACCACGCTTGCCGCTCTTGTTCTTGTTGGCCTTGGCCGACACCGCCTCGGCCGTGCTGGCCGAGCCGGAGGCAGCAGCGGCCGAGGCGGCGCTGTCGGTGGAACCGGAGGACGAGGAGGTCGACGAGGCGGCGCCGTTGGCGACCTGGAAGGCGACGACGCCGCCAAAGGGGCCGGCCGGGTTCGAGTTGGCAATCTTGGCCAGGCACACGTTGGACTGGCCGTTGACGGTGCCGGTGCAGGTGGTGCCGGCGGGGACGGCGACGGCGACGGGGTAGTCCTTGTTGACGTTGGCGGCGCGCTTGGCGATGACGCCCATGGCGACGAGGGCGCGGCGGATGGGGTTGCCGGAGGGGGAGATGTTGCCAAAGGTGCCGGGGACCTGGGTGGTGACGTCCATGAGGGCGCCGTCGGCAAAGTTGCCGGTGCCGGTGGTGTCGAGGACGGCCTTGAGGGGGCCGGCGCCGTCGGTGGTGACGATGTGGAAGACGCCCGAGAGCGAGCCGTTGTCGGCCGAGACCTGGGGCAGGTCGCCGCCGCCGCTCAGGGCCTGGGCCTGGCTGACCATGTCGATGGTGTTCTTGCCCTGGCCGGTGGTGCGGCCGAGGCCGTTGGACTGGGCCTTGATGGAGCTGAAGACGGTGGTGTCGACCTCGGTCTTGGAGTTGCGGCCGGCGCCGGGCACGACGCCGCCCTGGATGCCGAGGCCGGTGGTGTTGCCGCCAGCGTCGCCCTGGATGGCGGCGATCTTGCCGTGGGCAGCAACGAGGGGCGAGGACGCCAGGGCAACGAGGAAGATCTTGGAGAACATTTTGGTGTGGGGGGTGGAGGAGTGGATCAGAGTGGAAACGTTGAATGTGAAGTCGAGCAAGAGAAGTGAAACGAATCAATCGTATAAGAGTAAATTGTAGTGAGCAGAAAGGGAAGCACGAATCAATCGGCTGAAGAATGGAAAGTAGAAGAAGAAGAAGAGAAGAGAAGATGAGAGGATGGTGTTGAAAGGTTGTCAGAAGATGCTGTTGCTGATGAGGAAAGAGAAGATGGAGGAATGGAAGTGGGCGAGACGACGAGGTGTTTTATACTTTTTTGGTCCCACGATGTCGAACAAGAAGAGGACAAGAGGACGCCATCTATGCTTCTCTTCCAGACTCTGCCCGCCTCTTGGTCGATGCTTGGTCCACCTGGTTGAAACAGGCGTCGGCATCGGCCAGAGATGCGTTGTCGGCCGCGGATGCTGTCGGCGTGTAGGAGGCAGGCGAGCGGCCAGCGGCAGCCCATCACGCCTGGTCTGCCCATTGAATTACGAGACAGCATCGTGACGCCAAGAGTTGAAGCGTTGGAGCGTTGGAGCGCTGGAGCGTTGATGATCTTGGTGGGGGACATAAACGCGATTGGAGCATCGAGCCAAGGGGGTCGTCTACACGGAAACGACATGACACGGGCTGTTTGGACACGGCCCAGACAGAGAGAGTGGCCCCGCAGCACGATCGTTTCGAGAAGCAAGGAGCAAGGCCGCAGGGGGATCTGCGGGAACGTTTACTCGGTCGACAAGGTCTGGAAGTGATGCGAGAGGCTCGGTAGCTGTGGGGAAGCACAAAGGGGGGAGGTAAAGGGGAGGTAACAAATCGAATACCAAATCGAAGAACACAAGGGAAGAAAGGAAACAATGCAAACCGAGTGGCGGAGCGTCGCCAGAGCTGCGACGTCAGAGAGAGGCCTGCACTCATAAGCATATGCCGTGGAGCATGCTCCGAGCCGTCGGAAGTAAGAGTAAAGAGACCACCATATCGTTGACGAACACGAACAAGACACAGCAAAAAGCTTGATGAGCTTGACGAGCTTGGCGAGCTTGACGAGGATTTGAGCTTTGTCGATCCTGGCTTTCTGGTACGAGCGTGTCTGTGTCCGCTGTGAAGCTGCCAAGCCGTGCCAGGACCGCCCACGGTTGCGAGGGGCTTTGTCCACGATCTCTCACAGGGATGCAACCCAGGATCGCTGCGATATTCGCAAAAAAACCCCGTACGGTAGGCCGCCTGGGAACTGCCGGGTGCGACTCTATGTGTGACGGCAGCCTTCCAGGTCGGCGGGCCTTTTGCGGCCCGAGCTTCTTTTTCTTTTTCTTAATTTATTTCCTTGTTAGTTTTTTTTACTGGCTACCCAGAAAATCAATATGAAACGGCTTTGTGGCTGGGCGACTAGCGAAACGTTTTGGGGGAAGGGAAGCAAAAATGCGAAAAGAGAAAAGGAAGCGAGGGACGGCCGTGGTAAACGAGGCTGTGTTGAACTTGATACACTGTTCACTGTTTTTCCAAATGCAGCGTCTCCAAACGCCTGCGAAATGCAGAGCGGCAGGAATTCCCCACACTCCACGCCTTGCGGAGTGTTCTGTACGGAGCATATCTGTTTCACTGCATCCCTGTCTGCGATTCTGCGATCCTCGTCGCGATCTCTGTCAGGAGGCGACCAGCAAAGGGCGATCGCAGGTTGCTCTACAGATGGGGACTGCCGTGTCTTGTCGATGCAGCTGTCTGCGAGGATTCAAGGAGACATGCGGTATGCATTCAGGATCGCTCCAGCATACGGCCACTATTCTCCGCGCCTCGCTTTTTTTCATGCGTCACCATTGGTTGGTCGGCGCTTCTCAGCTTGTCGACGTGAATGAGTCGCCATATGAATGAAACCATGTCAGCTTTGTCTTGTGCTCTCATTTGGAATTCATGAAATGAATTCCGTTCGAGTAAAAAGATGGAAAGAAATGCAATGTCTTTTTAATTTATTTTTACTATTTTTTACTGGTTTATTTTCAATTCATGAACAACTTAAATTACAAAGCTATCACGGACTACTCCATCATTTCCTTGTGCCTCCATCCATAACGCTCTCTCACCCGGTACTCGTTTCCATGATCACCAACCAAGCCGCAAAAAAATCGTGCGTCGTAAAACCCCCAAAACATGTTGTTGCAACACCGTTTCACACACAAATAAGCACAGATGCCGTGGTCGTTGGCAGCCAAAACCTGGAACAGTGGAACGTGCATCGTGAACTGGACGTGCGCACGACCCTGTCTCACGACCCTCGCATTGTCTGTTCGCAATGAAACCCACCAGGCGTAGGCCGTACCAGCTCGCGAGCGTGCGGGCAGAGCCCTCTTTGTGCAGGCGTGGACGTCCGCAGGAAAACATCACCGTCATGGATCGGGGCCACCATGGCCAAATACCGAACCCAGCTCGCCCGTCGCCCTCCTTTGGTTCTCTTGATCGACGTGCATCCGCAACAACCCAAAGGACGCGCACGTCCTCACAACGTTCTCCCCCAAACCATGCCTATCCCCCCGATTCCTGGATGCCTTGGTCCTCTGGCTCTTGGCGAATCGTCAAACTAAGCACCAGGCCCAGACCCAGACCCAGACTCAGGATGTCCCAGACTCGCATCATTGCCCGAACTGGGAAATGTTGCGAGGAAAGCTGCCTGTCGACCGGTGACGCACGAATCACAAACCACAAACCACAAACCACAAACCACAAACAACCAGGGGCCGCAGCGAAGAGGGCTGTGCTCGGGATCGCAGGATGTGTTCCAAGGGACATCGACTCCGCCTGCTCGGAGCTCACAGCTACGGTGCACCGGCGTGCGATGTGCTGCAAGGACGAGGTAGGTCGCAACGGTGGGGTTTTTGGTGTTCGTGAAGGGCCAGTTCTTGAAGGGCCAGTTTGTGAAGGGCCCGCTCTTCTTTGTGTCCGAGACTGTTCTTCTCTTCCTAATGTCGCCGAAAGCACAACCTTTCCTCTTTCCTGTCTCACGATGCGTGAATTATCGACGAGCGCCCCTCACCTACCCCCTCGTTTCTCCCCATCAAAGGCCGAGCTCGTGGCTGTTGTGTTTCAGCTTCTCGTGTTTGACAGTTTTCGATGGACGGTGTAAGTTCAGCAGCGACGTCGGCACGGTAGCCTTGACGTATCGCACCACGGGCAGTAAGCAAACGGCTCCTTGCTCACCAAGAACCAAACTGCAACACACGCGAGATTCTCCTTTTTTCACTCGTATGGTAATGCAATTGTCATGCAAGAGTCGCGCCACAACATGGGCAGAATAATGGTTGGTTTGTTTTGTATTCAAAAAGGTATCAAAATGTCTATTAAAATGTTTCACCAAGAACCATCGTCCATATATATATATAATATACGAAAACGGCAGAAGAGTAAAAAGCGAGGCTGTCAATTTAGATCCAAGAGACTAGACTGCCTTTGTGTCCGACAGACACACAAGGGGCTCAGTCTCGTGTAGGCAAAATGAGAGGCAAGGCAATAGGGAAATACAAAGGCTCATGGCTCATGGCTGATTATGCAGGAGACAATGGTTAAAGACGCACGAGTGTGCCCGGAGAGAGAGGGAGGGGGACAGGGGAATCAAAAGTCAAAAAATACAGAAAAAAGGCGCGACTGCATTGACATGCCGACTCGCAGTTTACTGCGAGCTCTCCGACGGACCGCTGGCCTTCTCGTTGGCGCTGTTGGGCAGCGCAGCGTCCTGCAGCACACCGTTGGCCTGGCCGTTCTGGCCGGCCAGGTACGGGCTGTTGGGGCTCGTGTGCAAAAAGTAGTTGTGCGCCTCGTCGGTCAGGCCAGTGTCGTCGAGGACGACCTCGCCGTCCTTGCCGTGCACCTCGGCCTCGCGCTTGGCGTTCTCGCGGGCCTCCCAGTCGGCGCGCAGGTCCTGGATCTTGGCCTTGGCGTCCAGCTCCGGGTTGTAGTACTTGCCGACGCCCCACAGGCGCTCCCAGAGCGACAGGTGCGTGGGGTGCACGGCAATGCCGTGGTACTCGGAGTCGCGGCCGTCCTTGATGTAGCTCCAGCGGCGCTCCTGCTCCTTGAGGTCGAGACCCGTGGTGTCGGGCAGCCAGACCAGCGTCAGGAGCATGCCGGCCAGACCGAACCAGGGCACGACGTAGAACTTGGTCTGCGTGTCGATGTAGTTGTAGAGCACCGAGGCCAGCAGCGCGCCCGACTTGCCAATGCAGGCCGAGAAGCCGTGGGCCGTGGCGCGGATGGGCGTGGGGAACACCTCGCCGGCCACGAGGAAGGTCACCGAGTTGGGGCCGAACTGGTTGAAGAAGGACGACAAGAAGTACATGGCCTGGAAGGCGTGGATGCCGCTGAGGCCCGAGTAGTACTTGTAGTGGAAGGCGGGGACGACGAAGAAGATGAAGCACATCAGGAAGCCGACCTGCATCATCATCTTGCGGCCGTACAGCTTGTTGTCGATGAGGAAGCACGCCAGGTAGTAGCCAAACAGGGAGACAATGCAGTTGCAGATGTTCCACACCCAGGTGACCATGACGCTCTTCGGGTTGTCGGCAATGACGTTGATGAACTGGCCCTGGAACAGCTTGTTGCCGTAGAAGAAGACGTCGTTGCAGAACCAGGTGCCGGCGGTGGCCAGGATGCGGCCGCCAAAGTGCTGGAAGATGGTGCGCAGCGAGTTGACGTCGTAGCCGGTGACGTTGGCGCGCTTCTTGACGAGCTGCAGCTGGCGCGACGCGTTGGGCATCTTGTACGTACGGTAGTAGACAAGCCAGAGCGTGCCGACCGCGGGGAAGGCAAACGACAGGCGGAAGGTCCACTGGACGGTGGACAGGCCGTACGGCGGATCGCCGTCGCCGTGGTGGAAGACGAGCAGCAGCACAATCAGGAGGCCCTGGTTGATCAGCTGGCCCCAGCCCTGCATCAGGAAGGCCATGGTGACCTTGCGGCCACGGTGCAGGCGGTCGTCGCGGGTCGACAGCTTGCCGGCACCGACGGCGCTCTCCAT